CCCCACTTGCCTGCAACACCCCCACCTCACAGTGCCTCTGGGCCTTAGCCTTTTTCTTCTCCAAAACATGGAATATGGACTGGAAGGACATCCTTTCAGAAAAGGATGCACATAATACGAAGTGCTACAGAACATATTATTATTTTATTGGTTCTACTTTAATCTCTGTAAAGTATCTTTAATACTGTAACTATTTTCTATATCTGATATTTCACAGCACCGCCTCCACCTCCAGCTCTGATTTCTGTGTGTCCGGCCTTCAATTCTTCTGTCTGTCTTCATTCCAAACCCGGTCGTCCAGAGTGTCAAAATGACAGCCAGTGTCCCAAATCCAAGAAATGTTGTTGCTCCGGTAACTGCGGAGTGATGTGTGTGACCCCGGAGAAAGGTAACACCCTGAGCACCCTGTGATAACATTGTCCTATAGAGCCATCACTGACCATTGCCTCTGTCCTCTGTCCACAGTCAGAGCCGGCCGCTGCCCGGACATAAAAGCAAAGTGCCGTCCAGAGCCCACCTATAACTGCACCACAGACAGTGACTGCCCCGGAAGTCAGAAGTGCTGCAATATATGCGGGAGGACCTGCTGGAACCCAGAGCCAGGTACCACCTATTGCATAAACTGTGGTTCAATATAATACATGATCAAGGATTCCCAGAGCACTTTGGCTTATCTTCTCCTTACGAGTCATTTGCTGACGGCTTTCAATGTCCTTTCTGCAGAGCTGAAGGGGACTTGTCCCAAGAATGATGGAGCTCAGTCCGACTCCCTCCAATGTAGTTCTGTAAAGTGCAGCCGGAACTCAGACTGCAAGACGCGGGAGAAATGCTGCCCCTCCGGAGACGGACAATCATGTGTGAACGCCCAAACAGGTGACAAAGAGGGTTCCAAATATGAAAGTTTAGGCTCAGTTTCTAATCTAGAACATGTGTGTTATTTTTGGTCATGAACACTACTTTCAGACAAGATGCTCTTATTTTCAGCTCTCATTGGCTCTCACAGCTGACAACATTGTCTGAGGACATCTAGTGGTAGGAAAAAGTAGTGCGATGGAAATCTCTGGACGGAGGAGGAATATTGCAGAAAAAGCTGGATTTGTTATGTTATCTTTTAATGAACTATTCATTGTTACCTTGTTATTTTTGTCTGAAGTTCTGGAAGCTTTAACGACCCTCATAGCTTAGTGGACTGGTTCAGCTCCGCCCAACATTCATTGTTCAGTTTTGGGTTGTAGCATCTATCATCTCATTCTAATTCAGTGAAATATCCTAAGCCCATAAGGATGTTGCTGACATACTTCCTCCCTAAACCCTCCATGATCTATTGTATTGTCAATGGAGACTGTGCAAACAAAATGCTGGATGGGCATTGGGAAATGGGTGACAAAGCTGGAAGCACACAACTGTCCATGATGATTGCCCTTACCTGTCAGGTGGTAGGAGGATTCTAAGTACCAGTACCTGGAGGGGTACAATGATTCGGCCAAGATCCTGTAGATATTTGTGTTCTTCTGCAAAAAAATTGGAATATGGAATGGAAAGACATCAAGCTTCTTCACTCAGCTTCCAGTGGTCTTTCCTAGACGTTGAGAAGCAAGAGAGTATCAGTGTGATACATAGGGTGATCACCCACTGTGTTACATGTGGTGGCTCCTGTAGGGACAAGAACAAGTACCTGACTCCCTGGTGGTGTACAGACCAGGTGCCCCTGACGACACATTAGGTTGGTGGGTGAAGACACCTTCCACCGGGAAGAAGCCGGGTGATCTCTTGCAAGCAGAACAAGTGCGCTCCAGTGTAGGCAGAGGAATGTAGCTCAGACAGCTCCCCCCAGGGAGGTTAGAGGGTAGATAGTTGCTCTCTGTTATCACCACTAAACTATAACAGGGTGTGTGGTGCCCCCTGTACTCATTACAGTGCCAGAGCTCCTGCGCAGATGATGTTGGCTTAACACTTAAAAAAGCCCCCAGTGGTCACCTACTCAAGCGGGACTTTTACTTCTGGACTCTTGTACGCCACCACTGAATGGTGGCATCCAACTGAGTGGGGGATTTCCCAGCCACTCTTTCGTATCAACACTAAACTGTAACAGAGTGGAGTCTGGTGCCCCCTGTACTCATTACAGTGCCAGAGCTCCTGCGCAGAAGATGTTGGCTTAACACTTGAAAAAGACCCTAGTGGCCCCCTGCTCAGGATGGACCGGTGACATACAAATTATTTGATGATTTACCAGCATTGGGACATCATACAGAGTCATTTCTGAGGACTTCTGTCCTTGTTGGAGGTTTTACTTTACTGCCTTGGTGTCCCTCCTGTGAGGCTCACCTGCTTCTCCTTAAATATAACCCTGACCAGAGCTGGTGATCACCCAAACATGACTAGGCACATTAGCCGTCATGACCCGAACATACAACAGGAATCAATAAGTAATAGGATAGCTGATAGTCCCTAGTCACACTATTGGGAATACTCTAGGCAAGTGGTCCTAGCAAATGACCAAAGAACTCAGGTAGAAGTCCCCTTATTTTGCCCCAGGTTTCTCTTTGCTCTTCAGTGCTGTATGTATGTATCAGCACCTCCAGCCCAGGGGTACCATACCCTCTACAGTACAAAAAATGCCCAGGACATTAGAAGATAAGGTCACTGAACATGTTCACGCTGCCTGTTCATTTTCATGCTCTTCGTCAGGATTTGTGGCTTGGTTGGACAGTCTGTCACTACCGACCTAACCTGTCATATCCTGTGCATCAGATTTAATAAAGTTTTGAACACTAGTTGAATTGCTAGTCCCGTGGTGAGTAGGGATAAGCAAAACTGATATTTCACTGATAATTGTGATGGGTAATTTTGTCAAAATGTATTGGAGTCAAAGAGGAGGAGAAATTAAGATATTTTGGTGATGTCTGGCTTTGTCATGGGTGCTTCTTCGCACAGTATCATGTGTTTCCATGATGCAAGCTGGCCAGAGAATGGGGGCACTTAATGTGAGTGGGGGCACTTGATGTGAAGGGAGGAACTCTGATGTGAAGTTGGACTCTTAATGTGAAAGGGGGGCTCCTTATGTGAAGGTTGACTTTTATTTGAAATGGGGAACCCCAAGGATTTTTTTTTTTCATATGAATGTTTTCATTCTGTGAATATTGGGTATAGTGTCACTGACTCTCTCTGTCCTTCCTCCACAGCCAAATCTGGACGTTGTCCATCCCTTACAATCAATTGCTTTAGAGCTTCTTATACCTGCGAAAGTGACGACGAATGCTCTGGAAATCAGAAGTGTTGTGATATCTGTGGCAGGAACTGCTGGAACCCAGAACCAGGTATCACCGATCACCTTCTTTACTGTGTTATACATAAAGCTGGCCAGTCGCCGTCCTTCTACATTATATAGCCTGAGGATGGCGCCGTTATTCAGGACCCGCAGCTTTTCTATTTCCTGTGTCCCTTTTGCGTCTCTAGCTTGCTTATCTGAACTGTCAATTACCTGTCGAGATGCTGTGTGTGCTCTCTACAGAACACAAAATTTCCGCGACACTCAACTGTACTAGTCAGCCAAGGGGAATTAGTAAACCCATTTCTTATTTTTAATGAAAGCAGAGGATTGAGATACATGTATTTGCAAACATATGTGGAAGCTTCACACCAAGCCAAGGTACCAGTGTGCCACACGGTGCTGCCCATTGTGCCTCATGTTAGTTATGAATTGGATAAAAAGTTTGCCATTCATTTTCCTTCCTTCACTTCCTCCAAATTGCCTCAACACCTTATTCTTCTGCCATCAGTGCCTGTAAACCCTCCACCTCACCGTGCTTCAGAGCCTTAAAACCATCCCTCTACCTCCATTGCCAGAACATGTTCCCCTCCAGCTCCCAGGGCCTGAAACATTTCCCCCTCCACCTCACCGTGCTTCACCCCTCTACCCCCATTGCCAGAACATGTTCCCCTCCTGCTCCCAGGGTCTGAAACATTTCCCCCTCCACCTCACCGTGCTTCACCCCTCTACCCCCATTGCCAGAACATGTTCCCCTCCTGCTCCCAGGGCCTGAAACATTTCCCCCTCCACCTCACCGTGATTCATCCCTCTACCCCCATTGCCAGAACATGTTCCCCTCCAGCTCCCAGTGCCTGAAACATTTCCCCCTCCACCTCACCGTGCTTCACCCCTCTACCTCCATTGCCAGAACATGTTCCCCTCCATCTCCCAGTGCCTGAAACATTTCCCCCTCCACCTCACTATGCTTCGAAGCCTTAAAACCATCCTTCTACCTCTATTGTCAGAACATGCCTTCCTTTTGCCCCCTAGGTCCTGAAACAATTCCCCCTCCAGATCTCCCGCTTTAGGGCCTGAAATACATCCCCATACTTCCATCCGCACAATATATTGCCTTTCATCCCCCAGTGACTTCAACTCTTCCCAGTAGAGCTCAGAGGACCTGAACTTCTCCCCTTTACCTGCAATGCCTTCATGTTCCTCTGCAGCCCCCAGTGCTCGAAACACTTCCCTGTGCAGCCCACAGTGTATGAACTCCTCCCCTCTTCTTGGTAGTGGGAACAAGCTCATCAATTATATTTATCTGTGCAGTTTGACTTTGTTGCAGAATGCCCGGAGTGAGAAGGAGTCTTGAGAGGTTTTTTTTTGGCATCCTCTGATCTCTCACAGCCCAATTGTCTTTCCACCTCCAGATCTGATTTCTGTATGTCCGGCCTTCAATTCTTCCATCTGTATCTATGCCAGACCCGGTCCTGCCGAGTGCCACAATGACAGCCAGTGTTCCGTCAACATGAAATGTTGCTGCTCCAACTGCGGCCTGAAGTGCGTGCCCCCGGAGAAAGGTAACCCCCTGAGCACCCTGTGATAGCATTGACCTATAGAGCCATCACTGACCGCTGTCTCTGTCCACAGTCAGAGCCGGCCGCTGTCCGGACATAAAGGCAAAGTGCCGTCCAGAGCCCACCTATAACTGCACCACAGACAGTGACTGCCTCGGAAGTCAGAAGTGCTGCAGTATATGCGGGAGGACCTGCTGGGACCCGGCGCCAGGTACCACCAATGACTTAATGTACAATAAGCAGTTTGGTGTATCTTTATTGAAAATATAATTTTGGTAAATATTTGCACAATTGTCACAATTGAAGTAGAAAATGGGCAGCGCCATCTTTCATTCTGCCGGTTATTCAGTTCCAAAAAATATATGTTCTGGGGGGTCTTTTACAAGTGTCTCATTCTGTAATGTGCAAGAGAAAAAAATAGCAAAAAAAAAAAAAGTTCTAGCCACCTGAGGTGCAAAATAAGGGGCAGGGTCTGGCAAAAAGCAAAAAGATTAAAGGATCAGTCCACCCGAAAATTATATTTTAATTTTAGGTGAAGCATAATAGACTCTTCCTGTGACAAAACCAATGATATGACGATCACTTACACATATAATAATGATGATGTGAGAGAGCGGCAGTCTCAAATCCCACCGCCGGCGTCAGAACGTGACATGTCACACTCTCAGCCTTACCCTGCACAGAGATTGGCCGGCTTGTGAAACAGCAATCTGTGCGGCCAGCAGACTGAGAGTCAACGTCACCGGGGTCAGTTACTTTCTGCAGTTAACCCTTTACACACTAAACAGTAGCTGTCACCCTCATGTCTTTTAGCAGAAGCATAATCCTCCTGTCCCATCGCACTCCTGACCGGACAAAAACCCGAATCCAACTGGGTGGGTGTGCGGTGGTGACAACGGATGCCTCCGTGAAATGTAGATAGATGAAAGTAGTCACTCGCACTCCACGATATTAAAGTCAATGCTGTTTATTGACTGAGATAACACACATCTCCTTAGCGATGGGGACGCATGGTCTCGAAGCGTCGCTAAGGAGATGTGTGTTATCTGACAGATGTGTGTCAAAAAACAGCATTGACTTTGATATCATGGAGTGCGAGTGACTACTTTCATCTACCTTTTAGCAGAAGCACACACCATTCACAGTATATAGTATAGCGGTTCTGACCTTTAGTCACTGCCACACAGGACAGGAGGACACTGGCCCTCAGAAATGACGGAACATTCTAGCATGGTTTCTGTGGAAAGCAAGAGCCTTGAGCTGCAGATGAGGCAGGTTTTTGTTGGAGTCGCTGAGACAACCCCCCACCCAATCAAAAATTACCGAGGAGTGTCATGTAAGAGTGCTGAAGTGTTTGATTATACTTCTGAAGACACTCACTTAATGCCAATTATTCAATCCATATATATATTTCCAGTTTTACAACCCAACAACCAACATATCATTGCATAGAATGCAAGTACGATTGGTCAGACAACAAGCATTCTATGGATGTATTATTCTCAAGAGGTGTAATGTGTTCATTCTCCTGCTGGACATTGTAGTACAGAGGCGTGTTTGATATCAAACTGACTGTCATCTTCTTATACATTTGTGTAAACACTTGGGGGGTTATTCATGTGGCAGTCGAAGGCATATGCTATGGCTCGACTGAGCCGAAATGACACCCAAAGTGGGGCAAAGAGCCTGCTGAAGGCCGGCCTTTTGCCCCTCAAATGACAGCTTGGCAGAGCTGGCTGTGATCTCATGGCTGGCTCCGCCCAGTTGTATTGATAGATCAGCTTTCCCAATGGCGCTGTTCTGTCATTAAACAATAACAACTGGGCAGTTTTTTAAAAAACTCTTTTCATTGATTTGCTATACCGGCTATTGACTCACTGCCGTTCGCCCTTCATTCACATAGGGGCCGAACGGCAGTGAGTGAATAGCCGGACGCCACCGATCGCCATTTGGCTCGGCTATTCTGCTCGGTACCTCCGTGGCATAGCAAATCAATGAAAAGAGTTTTTTTTAAAACTGCCCAGCGAGCTGCCGGAGCTCCGGCCAAGCTGATCAAGGTGTTGGATCGGCTGAGTCGAAGTCCTTCTGCACTTCAGCTCAGCCGAACATGCAGAGGTACAAGGTGTTGTAAAATGGAATGTATTATTTTGTCAATTTGACAAATACTCAATTTTTTTCCTACATTTTAGGGAAATGGAAAATTAATTTTTGCCCATCCCTAGAACTATTGAAACTTGCAGGGCCATTCACAAAAGGGTGAAGAGTTTGGAGAAGGCCGGAGAAGGGAACAATCTAGGCCAACAGGGAACTGGAAAGTGAGCTGAATTGGAGAATTTTTCAAAATCAGCGATGTTGTCCTAGATTGTTCACTTCTCCGGCCTTCTCCAAACTCTGCACCCTTTTGTGAATAACCCTTTTAGAGTTTTAATATCCCACACTCACTGTAATATTATGTCTGATTGTACCGTCTCTCCATACAGAGCCACTGGGGATTTGTCCCAGGAATGATGCCGGTCAATCTGGCTCCCTCCAGTGTCATTCTGCACAATGCAGCCGGGATTCAGACTGCAAGATGAACGAAAAATGCTGCGCATCCGGAGATGGACAGACATGCGTGAATTCCACCTAAACTGAGCCCCATAGAGAGAGGGAGAGAGAGACAAGAAACTTCATGGAGGAATCAAAAGTCCATAATGACATGAAAAATGATCTGTGGACCTTTTAGGTACACTTGTGTTCTCAGGCTGATAAGAATAAACTTAGCAATGTATGTTCATGTTTTAAAAGCCTAATTTCTGTCTACATATGGTGACATAGCTGACCCGGTGATATAGCTGACCCGGATCGTATAGCGCTGATCCCGATCTGTGCATCGGCCGAAAAATGCCAAAGTGCCATTTTCCTGCCGATACATCGGCACATCAGTGCTTTCTTTCCTCCCCGCTGGGCGCTGCTCTGTGTCCCAGCGGGGAGGAGAGAAAGTGACAGCCGGCTGAGCGCTGCGGGAGGAGAGCGCTGTGTTTGTGGGGGGGTTTTTTTGGGGGGGGGGCCCAAAAAAAATCTTGCACCAGGGCCCTTTGTTCCATAGGTCCGCCACTGGTGATATAGTAAGATGTCCGCAATCCTTTGCCTCATAGTATGTAATTAGTCATTAGTATCATGTGATTCACATGCCACCATCACCACCTCTGACACACACATCCCCGGCCATCCAATTGATGTAAAAGAATACATGATGCTCATGTGCCCATTGTAGGTGCTTTTGGCGGTGGACATGGGTCAGCATGGGCACCCTAATGGGTCTGTGGCTACGGAGTCCCATACACAACAAACCACAATGCACTGTGTGATCAGACACCTTTCTATCAGAACCAGCATTAGCTTTTCCAGTAAATTGAGCTACAGTAGTTCTTCTATTGGATTGGACTGCACAGGCCAGCCTTCCCTCCCTACATGCATCAATGAGCCTTGAGGGACCATTACCTTGACACCAGTTCAACGGTTTTCCTTCCTTGGACCACTTTTGGTCAGTCCTGACCACTGCAGACCGGGAACAGTTTTGGAGTTGCTCGGACCCGGTCATCTAACCATCACATTTTGGCCCTTGTCAAAGTCGCTTAAATCCTTACACTTGCCCATTATTTCTGCTTCCAACACATCAACATCAGGGACAAAATGTTCACTTCCTGCCTAATATTTCCCACCCACCTACAGGTGTCATTGTAGCCATTTAATCAATGATATTCACTTCAACTCTCAGTGGTCAGAATGTTATAGCATACTTGCCTGACTGCATTGTGCCAAGTGTAAAGTTTGTCGTTGTTTTTCAGGGGTTGGGCTTGGCCCCTTAGTTCCAGTGAAGGGAACTCTTAAGGCAACAGCACCCCAAGACATGTTGGACAATGTCATGCTCCCCACTTTGTGGGAAGAGTTTGGGGATGGCCCCTTCCTGTTCCAACATGACTGCGCACCAGAGCACAAAGCAAGGTCCATAAAGACATGGATGGGGGAGTTTGGGGTGGAGAAACTTGAATGGCTGCACAGAGTCCTGACCTCAACCCCATAGAACACCTTTGGGATGAATTAGAGCGGAGACTGTGAGCCCGGCCTTCTCGTCCAACATCAGTACCTGACCTCACAAATGGTCCAACATTCCCATAGACACACCCCTAAACCTTGTGGGCGCCTTCCCAGAAGAGTTGAAGCTGTTATAGCGGCAAAGGGCGGAGCCAACCCAATATTGTACACTACGGACTAAGACTGGGATGCCTATAAAGTTCATGTGCATGTAAAGGCCGGCGTCCCAATACTTTTGGCAATATACTGTATGTTCAATGGCAAACTGCAGTCTTGCGCTAATGTTCTTTTTGGACAGCAAATACTTTTTTGCCTGGCACGCCTCCCACACAGGTAAAATGGCGTAATCACTAATTATAGAGTATAAGTAAATATACTTTGATGCCAGCTGGTGCAAGAGTTACCTGTAGAACTTGCAATGAAATTTTAGCAGTAATTGCTTCGCTCTTGGGTTGAATTTGCCGGGTCGGTCAGTTCTGGACAAATTAGAAATCATTTGAGATCTTAGATTATTTCCTTACAGTGGCATGATTGATTTCAAGTTATTTGGTGATCATTTTTTAAATCCCTTCCCTCATAGCTATCCACAACTTTCTTTCTGAGATTTGTCTAAGGTGATATGTGTGGTATCATCAAGCCAAGATCAATAGAGCTTCAGGAGTTTTACTGTGATCTTGGCAAGATGATTAGTATGGATGCACCGATACCAGGTACCGATACTTTTCCAGCTCCAAGACCAGACTAGAGAAAAATTCAAAAGTTAGGAGGCCGCTGTCATGTGTAAGGAGCACGCGGAGCTCCCGGGATTTGTACATCTCTGTTTTAATGTATTATTTTGTTTTTATAAATATAAATTAAGGGATGCACCGATACCAGTTTTGCGAGTACGAGTACTGGTCTGTTTTTTTTTTTTGTCATCTGACACTTTTTCTAAAACAATACAGACCCCGCAAGGCACTTCGCCTTGTGAAGCCCTAATTGGCTAAAGCCTTGCACCTGACCACCATCATGATGACTTTGCACCAAATATGTCTCACAGCTAAGTCCCAGCAGCACAATATAAGGCTGCTTACACCGCAGCACTATGTAATGTGTTGCTGGAGTTAAAAAAGAGAGTTTACTATCATTGTTCTATCAGAATTCTATCAGTTCTATCAGTGTACTATAGCAGTTGATTATTGCAGTCTATTGCAATGTGCATCATGTCTGAAAGGCAGATGCTCCCATGCAGCAATAAGAGGGCAAGCAGCCTCTGTGTCCGCAGGCTAAAGTTGTGGACGTGGTGCATCCTCTGCAGGCAGGGCATGCTTGTCCTTTTTATCTGCTGCTGGCCGTGTTATTCAGCAACAACATACAGAAGAGGTGGTTGATTGGATAACTAAGCCATCCTCATCCTCCTCTGTCACCCAGGCTCATACTGGTTCTCATTCCACCGCAGCTGCCAAAGCGGCCTATTCTGCCTCCTTGTCCACAGCTACTCCTGCCCTAGCCTCACCATCATGCATGGAGGAGTCAGCTGAATTGTTTGAACACAGCGTCAGCCACATACTGCTGGAGGATGCGCAGCAATTACAATGGTCTGATGTTGGCTCTGAGGTTGAGGATTCGTAAGAGCAGCCACCCTATTGCATCAGATGGTAGAGCTGCATTGGTGCAGGGCGCTGTTGTCTCACAGCACACGTCCCGGAACTCTGCTGTCTGGGAGTTTTTCCACCACATTTGTAGCAGACCGCAGCATTGCTATTTGCAATCTGTGTCTCAAGCAGATCAAGCGTGGTAAAAACATCAACCGCTTCGGTACCACGTGCTTGAAGAGTGATCTGACCTCCTGCCATGCAGCCCATTGGCAAGAGCACCAGAAAAAGGTCCACACTTCTCCTCGCTCCTCATCTGTCATCTCTACCCCCCACTATACGTCATGCCATGTCAACAACCTCCACTGACAGGGATGATGGTATAGCAATGGGTGTCAAAGGTCCTTCTGCTGAATCTGCCAGCAGCCCACCAGCTGTAGATTTTAGCAGTGAAATTTCTCTGCCCCAACTGCTGCGGAGGAAAAAAAATACTGTCCCACCCATCCACATGCTCAGCGTCTAGATGCCAGCTTGGCCAAATTGCTAACTTTCCAGCTGCTGCCTTTCCAGCTGGTGGACTCTGCCCCGTTCCGTGAGTTTGCAGAAGGTGCTGTACCAAAGTTGCAGTTTCCCAAACGCCATTTCTATTCACGTAAGGCCATTCCAGCACTGTACCATCTTGAGGAAGGCAATGTTTTGGCTTTGTTGGACAGGGCAGTCAGCAGCAAGGTCCATGTTACCACTGACACGTGGTCCAGCAAGCATGGTCAGAGACATTATACTTCCTTCACAGCACACTGGGTAACTCTGCTAGCAACTGGGAGGGATCCAGGAAGGGGCTCCGTGGTTGTATGCGACTATGGCAGCAACCTTCTCTCCGTCCTACGCCTGGGAAAGTTGACGCATGTACCATGCTTCGCACACGTCCTCAATTTGGTGGTACAGCGTTTCTTAACCAGGTACCCAAGGCTGGCAGAGCTTCTCAGGCAGACCATAAAAGTCTGTAGCCATTTCAGGCGCTCATTCTCAGCCAGTGTTCCTGGCTGGAATTCAACATTAATTCCACCTTCCCACAAACAGTCTGATTTGTGACATGCCCACCAGGAGGAACTCCACTTTGGCAATGCTGCAGCAGCTGCACAAGCAGCAGAGGGCCATCAATGAGTACTTGTGTGAGTATGGCACAAGGACAGGCTCAGGGGACCTTGGCTTTTTTCCCCCACATCAGTGGCTGCTGATAAAGGATGCATGCACTGTATTGTGACCATTTGAGGAGGCGACAAGGATGGTGAGCAGGGACAGTGCATGTATCAGTGACATTCTTCTTATATCCTTCATGTGGTCCTGCTGGAGCACACTCTGCGCGGAATTATGGATAGGGCACTTGAGGCAGAACAGCGGCAGGAAGAGGAGGACTTAATTTCCTCTCAAGGCCCCCTTTATGCAGAAACCATTCCTGCGGGGCCACATGTCACACAAGAAGAGGAGGAGGAGGATTATGTCAGCCGTGGGGGCATTGAAGCAGAGGATGACATACGGCAGTCTTCAAGTGAGGGCTTTCTGTCCCCAGAACCCAAGGAGTAGTACGTGGCTAGGAGGAGGAAGTACATGATAGTGTCATCCTCAGTGACCCTGAAGACTTGGAATCTCATGCCTCCTCCAACTTACGGTGGATGGGCTCCCTTATCCTGCAAAGCCTGAGAAAGGACCCCAGGATTCGTGGTATCGAGGAGAGGGATCAATACTGGTTGGCAACCCTTCTTGATCCACGTTACAAGTGTAAAGTTGCAGAGCTCATCCTGCCCTCACAGAGGGAGCACAGGATGAAACAACTTGAGGACGCTTTGAAGAGAAACTCTGTAACACCTTTCCAGACACTGGTAGCTTATCAAGTGATGAAAGAGATGCTTCTGAGGCTTCCGTTGGTCAAAAGAAGAGCGTTGGAGAAGGGGGCCGCCTGACTGATGCCTTTTTGTTAACT